TATGTTCTCTCTAGGAATCTCTAGGTTCTCCAGTGCAACTCTGCTGGAAGTTGACCATAGAGTTCCTCTGGAGGACCAAGAGATTCCTAGAGAAAAACACTTCTCTAGCCATTTGTAGGTCCTCCAGTGTGATTCTATGGTCAGCTTCTGGTAGATGTTGACCATAGAGTTGCATTGGAGGCCAAAGATTCCTGGAGAGGTGTTCTCTCAGGTTAAAAAAATAGTGTTTTTTTATTTGTGGTTTTCCCACAATCATGGGGTCCTATGCCCCTATCCCCAGTGAATGTGGAGTGCCCATGGTACATGAAAATTCATTAATAGTTAACGTGTGACTGTTTTTCTGGGTCTGCAAAGATGAGAGGTGCTAAGATACCTTTGCTTCCCCATCCCAGGGCATGAATGTAGCATGGATTTTGTTGTGTGAATCATAAAAGCCTGGATACATGTTTTCCTCCCAACTACATTTCATAGCTAAAATGAAATATATATAAAGCATCTCTTCTTTCCATACTGAAAATACTGTCAGTTCTGAGTGTGGCTTCCTGTGGTCTTCAATTTTCCATCCCTTGCCCTCTTATATTTTTTCCTGTTTTAGTTATATAAAGAGTCTATCATGACAGCAATTTTTGCTTGTGACAAAGTTGTATGGTGCGGTAACATACATGACGTGCTCATTGTTATGAGTTTTTGAACATGAAGTGGTCTGTGATATTCTCTGCCGGCAGAGCCAGTTTACATCAGGGTGGGACCCTGCTGTCCTCCAGAGGTTTGTTACACTGCAACTCCCAGCAAACCTTGGCTGGGGTGGTTTGGCCTTTTGGGAGTTATGGTCCAGTAGCATTTGAAGAGCCTTACGATTCTCACAGTTGGTTTACACATTCAGCAGAATTGAGGGGTAACACTTCTTCATGGACCTTATGGCTACAGATATATGGGCAATGCTTTTTGATAATAAAGAAGCAATGTCAGTAATACTGTATAAATGCTACATTTATTCCAGGGCTACAAAACCTGTGCCATCCATTCCCCAGTTCTGAGGAGCTATTATACCCATCACCCCTCACCATTGGTTAAACTAAAGACGACAATTGGTGAAATTCAGAAATATTTAAAGGGTCACTTGTTTCCTGTTTTGTTTTGTTTTGTTGCTATATTCCTTTAAGTTGATTCTGACTTATGGAGACTTTCTCTAGGGAGGTATCTGCACTGCAGAATTAAAGCAGTTTGACACCAGTTTAACTGCCATGACCATCCTACAGAATCCTGGCATTTGTAGTATGGTGAGACATCAGAGCTCTCTGACAGAACAGACTGAATACCTCACCAAACTACAAATCCCAGGATTCCATAGAATGAAGCCATGACAGTCAAACTGCTTTATTTTTGTGGTGTGGATATATCCCTAAATTTCTTGGCAAGGTTTATTAGATGAGGTTTACCTTCCTCTTAGACTGAGAGAGTATGACTTGCCCAAGGTCTCCCAGTGGGTTTCCATGGCTGGTCTTCTAAAGCTGTAGTCCGACACTAAAACCATTACATTGTGGTGGCCCCATGGATGCATCATTCTAGTTTTATTCAAAGCTTAGCCATATAATGTGTAATCCCCACCATAGCAATAATGAGAAAACTTCATTGTGTCCTGTCTGCCTCAGCCAGGAGAACTTCATTCATTGACTAAAAAGTACCTCTGACACTGTTGTTGCTGCTGGTGCTGACACTCCAGGGAGGGAAGAACTATTTCCCACCTTTAAATAACATTCACACACTCTCAGCCTCAGAGGATGGCAATGACAAACCCCCTCTGAAGAAACTTGCCAAGACAACTTCATGATAGGTTTGTCTTAGGGTGTCCATAAGTTTAAAAAAACCCACCACCATAACAAGTCATTGTAGCTAAGAAAATTTTACTTCTCTGCTCTTGTTCTTCTTAGGCTACTCATGCCCTTGAAGTTGCTGCACTGTTTGGAGGAAAAAGTGAAATAAAGATAAAGAGAAATTGGGAAAAAGTTTGCCACTTGCCTCCTGTCCTCCATATTTTTTCCACTGTGAAACTGTGTAGACATTCGCTCAAGAGATGATCTAAAGCAGTGATGGGGAACCTTTTAGAGACCGAGTGCCCAAGCTGCAACTCAAAACCCACTTATTTATCGTAAAGTGCTGCTTCCCTCTGGCTTTCTAATAACAAACTCTGGCAAACTCTGTGCTGGGGCGATGGTTCGCGTGCCCACAGAGAGGGCTCTGAGGGCACGCGTGCCATAGGTTTGCCACCACTGATCTACAACCTCGCTCTGGAGACTGGCTGTGGATATGTTCTACAGTTTCACTTTTCACTTTAGCACTGAAATGCGGCTGTAGATTTGTTGCTATGTGCTGTCAAGTCATTTCCGAACCTTCCCTGGGGGTTTCTTGGCAAGATTTTTTCAGAGGGGTTTGCTTTTGCCTTCCTCTGAGGCTGAGAGAATGTGGTTTACCCTAAGTCATCCAGTGGGTTTCCATGGCTGAGCAGGGATTTCAACCCTGGTCTTCAGAGTCATGGTCCAGTATTCAAATCACTTACACCATTCTGGCACTCTTACACATTTTATATTCTTTTAAAAAGCTAAATCAGTCTCTTGTCCTCTATCTCTAGAGACCTGCTTTCATTTTTTTTCCAAGGTAAAATGAGACATTGAGAAACTCTTGAGACTCCATTAGCAGATGATGGTGCATGGATAGCCAGGCAGCGAAGATGGGTGGGATTACAAACCACCATGGAGGACAATGTAAGCCATATTTCTGAACCAGGTGAAATTAAAGCTCTACTTCAGTAGTTCATCAGAAAGGGATGGTTGTTACAGTTGCAGCAAAAATGCTGAAGATGATGTCAGAGAGAAGACTAGGCTGATCCCTTCTTCCCAAATTGCTAGGTTTCTTCCTATATTTTAATATTAAAATATGCCAACCACCCCTCTGTAGCCTAGAGTGGTATAACCTGAAAAAGCATTAGCGTTTTTCATTCCGCTGAATATATAAACAGGTTCTTGCCAGTTTGTGTATCTACAGAGCCAAATTGCCCATCAATAATAAATTCTGTGCCATGCAGACTGGTGGTACAGAGCCTTAACATCTTGGTAGTGCTTCTTACATGGACAGTGTTTTTGTATAAATACGGTCTGTTCAGAATTTTTAAAATATGTGGAAACGCAGTCTGTTAAAATCCTTTATGAAATTGCCATCAGTCTTGTCCTTGTTTTTGTTCCTGTATGATCATTTTTGTTCCCTTCCTTTCCC